GTGGGAGGGCTCCAATCCACCCACCCCACCCTCCAGCACAGGGTGGGCAAATCCCAGACTGAATTCCCTCCCCTCCCTTCTCCCATTCTGAAGATAGCATCAGGGCTGGGGGGGTGCTGACGAGTGGGGGAGTAGGGCTAGGGGAGCAGTTGCAGACACACAGCTGCCCCAAACTGGAGCTCGATCTCCCACCCCCCAGACACAACAGTGAAAGTCTGTTGGGTTGGGGGGAATCTTGCGAAGCGCCATGAGTTAAAGCAGGGAACTGCAAGTCTGTCGGCTCCCTATTAGTCGTTAATCCCTCCTAACCTGGACTCTTATTATCTGCTTCTCCTTAAAACCCAGTTCTTCTACAGGCCTTCAACAAAAAAAACCCAACAAAGCTGAAAACTCTGGATTCTGAATCTCAGCAGGCCCAACCACTAGCTCTAGGCTCAAGTGCTAGACATGACAAAACTTCTGGGGTCAGTGCATTGTGTTCTGAGGGCCTGTCGTCTCACATAGGGAGGTTACAGTAATGAAGCTGGCTTGACAGAGAACACCAGATCCAATTGTAATCAAGTACCCCATGTATAATATTGGAAGCCCTTCTTGTCTCCAGTTCAAGAAGACTATCCTATAAAAAAATCTTTTTTAAAAAAATGAAGCAACATTTGAAAGTCAGGGCCTGTAACCTAATGTTCACTTTTTGTAACGGAGTTTTTTGTCTGTGAAAACAGTCACATCCCTTGAGACTCTTCTGTTATGGGAATGATATATGAGTTTAACTGATGCTGAGTTGATTTTCCCATAGGATTACTTCCACCAACTAACCTGCATCACTGAAAGAGAAAAGTTTTTCATACCAATTCGAGCTATAGGTGCCCGAGGAATACTGGACTTTCCTGACCAGTTGAACTTCTCTACTTGCCCTGTCAAGTACAGCACTCAGAAAACTCTGCTGGTTCGCAACATTGGCAATAGAGAAGCTCGCTACCAGATCACCACCCAGAGGTAAGAGTTTGTGTGCACTTCCTGTATTACACCTTCTCACTTGCTAAAGGTGCAGTTCATGCTAGACAACAAAAGAAGTAGAGCAATCTTGGGGTGCATTCAGTTTTTAAAGGGGTGCAGGTTTAAACCGAAAAGCTTGCTTAAAATTTTTTTCCCCCAACAATTTAAGTTGGTCTAATAAAAGATATCAGATTCACCCAAAGAACCATGTCTACCTTCGGTTTTTAAGGTAATTTACTGTGTTTTTTACTTTCAAGGGAACTTTTTATCCATTGTCCATTGTATGTCATAGAGTTTTATAGCATGGGATTGTGTGTACCTCACAGAAACACCAGCCAAAAATCCTGTTGGCTTGAAAGGAACAAAACTTACTGTACTCTGATAGGCAGAAAGGATGTCTCCTGCTCATTAGAGAGAGAGAATCCACGATGGGAACTTTCTTTGACACATGGTTCGTAAGGTTTATATGCACCATTAAGAAATGATGCAGTGAGCTGGGGGAACACCCACCTAACTATTTAACTATTTAATTTCATAATAGAATTAATTAAAAGGAACAAGTTAGCAAAATCTCAGTGCAGCTGGTGATAGTGGAGACCTGCTTCCCAGAAGCTTAAACACAAAGGCACAGCCCCTTCAGTCTTCAGAAGAGTGCTAGAGCTATCTGCTAGTGGGCTGGCATGCATACTACATGTTGTGGGGTATGCACACGCCCCAGATGGCAGGGTTTTGCGGTTGCCAAACACATGCTGAACCCCGGGAAGCCATAAATGTCATGTAGCTGTGAAGTTCTACCATGTCCTCTTGCTCCAAGTGGTTGTTGTGTCAGGTAACTAGCGCTAACTCCCATCACCTCACATTACACCGATTCAGAGAAACACTTAAGCATATGCTTAAATTGGGACTGAGATATGTGCATCAGTGATTTGCTGAATAGGAATAGACTTTAGCATGTGAAGCACATTTTAGTGCTTTCCTGAATTGGAGTTCCAAATAAGTGCACAGTAGTGCCTTGGATTATGCATATGGGTGAAACAAATTAAAACAGCTTATAAGCAGTTGACAAAAATGTCATCTGGAAGTTTACACATGAGAGTAGGAGTCTAGAATTTAGCTGGAATTCTTTATATGAACTTGGTCAAGTCTCTAACCTCTCTGTCTCCATTTCCTCAACGCACAAACACAGGAAACGTGAGCTTAAAAGAAACCTTTGCCTTTTTTGTACTACTTTTATGCCTCATTTAAATAATCTATATCCTCCCCAGTGCCAAATGAAGGGCTTTCTTTCTAGCACAGATTTCTCAGGTTCTGTCTGTTTTGTTTGAATATCTGGCCTTCCTCAAGATCAGACTGACTGGCTGGAAATGCCAGTGAAACTGGGTAATTTGGGAGAGCTTGTCAAATTTCTCTCAAAGGAATGACTCTAGAGTTGGATTTCATGTCTTGTCTTTACTGATCCAAAGTCAAGTCTTGGAGTAATAGTTTTGAAGTTAGATAGCTCTAAAGTAAAACATCTGGACACCACAGTATAGAACAGAAGAGTGAACAAACCAGGGCATTCTGTGAATTGGCCATGAAGAACCAGGGATGCCTGGGGAGGATACAGAAGAAAGGGACCCAAGTCCTCTTCCCATTATGAATTTTTTGTGGAATGGGCTCGAGTCAGAGACCTTTTCTGCCTGTGGTCCTCCAGACTTAAGTTTCATAGGTTAAATAAATGCTAACTATGGGCATTTTTACATGTGCTCCAGGAGGTGTGGTGGGACGCTTTAATTAGTGAGCTGCACTAATTAAAAGCATCCAAATGTTACGTGTATCAGCATCTGCCACACTGAAAAATGGTGGCAGGGCATTTTGAACTAAAGCTCACTGAACAAGCTTTAGTTCAAAGCACTCCGCCACCATTTTTCAATATGTGGATGCTGATGCACACAATACAGGAGGCTGCTGGAGCACATTAATCAAGTGCTCTGATGTGCTGAATTTCCAGCACATTGGAGCCAGCTCCCTGCATATCTATAGGAGCCCTCAATACCTAATATCTTTAAATGTGCTTAATAACTCCTCTAACAGGTTCACTGTGTGTTTGTCACATACATCTTAAACCTCAATAAATATGTATTTAATGATCATTATTATTTCAGCAATCAGTTATTTCTATCCTGATGTTGAAGTACAGAATTTTTATTTATTAGAAAATAATTTATAACCTCAAACCACAAGAAAAACCCAGAAGAATGCTATGAATAAGCATATTGATCAGGTGCAAAGATGAAAACGTGATATATTTCCCTTGTAGTCATGGAGTTGAAGGGAGTCTATCATCTCTTGCATGTCATTATGACTTTTCCCAAACCAGATTGGAACTTCAAACAGATCATTTACATCTTTGAGTACAAGTAAAATTTTATTTTAATTAATAAGAAGAGGGGCTCCACTTCCTTTCAGACTTCTTTTAAATATTTAGATGTTCTTCCATCCCTGCTTCTGCAGCAGGGCACATTTTTTAAGTGACAAAAAGGATTATGTGAAATGTCAAAAAGAACTCTGCAGTGAGAACTTAGAGAAATTTAGTTCTATTGATGTGTACCCATATATACATGCATATATATTTAAGGAGGGGTAAATGGGTGTGGAATAGAGTTAGATGTTTTATAAATGTCACAATATGGAGCAGATATTGACTATGGTGTTCACTACAGCAGTGGAAAGTGTTCAGATACTGTGGTCATGAGCACAGAATGAATAAGAATCAAGGCAGAACAAAACTGGCCTTCAAACCAAACTGATAACTGGCCTTGACAGTCAGGCCAATATGCCACTCCATCAATTAATAGATCCTTATCTGGCAATTTTCTGTGAATAAATGTGTGCACAGATCTTCACAAGAGACAGGCCATTTTTCTGTTCACATTAGGGGAATTAATTTCCCTGAAGTACAGGGTACAGCAGAGACTTCAGTATTATTAGCAATGCAGGTGATGGGGATTTGGTTTAATGTGCCACTAATTCTTCTATGTGACCAGTATTAGCTTGATGGTGATAGTGATTAATTATGATCATAGAACACTCAGAATAGTGTCAGGAGCTTCATAGATAAATGAGAGTCATGTTCCCATCCTGAAAGGCTTAAAATGTAAATATAAGATGAGATGCACAACAAGGGGAAGGGATCACAAGGCATTCTAGTGCAGATCTGACTTTAGGAATGCATTTGAGAACATCAATTCATCCGTATTCAACAAAGCCTTGAAATACCTGCTTAAATTTAGATTCAAGCTTAAACACTCGCATGATCAGGAGTCAGCAGGGCAGGCCCTACGAGGAGAGGCTAAGGGACCTGAACTTGTTCGGTCTCCACAAGAGAAGGCTGAGGGGGGATCTAGTGGCCGTTTACGAACTAGTAAGGGGGGACCAACAGGCACTGAGGGAGTTCCTGTTCCCCCCCCGAGCACTACCAGGAGTGACTAGAAATAACGGTCACAAGCTGGCAGAGGGTAAATTCAGACTAGACATCAGGAGGCGCTACTTCACTATCAGGTCGGCTAGGATCTGGAACCAACTTCCAAGAGAAGTGGTGCTGGCTCCTACCCTGGGAGTCTTTAAGAGGAGGCTGGATGAACACCTGGCTGGGGTCATTTGACCGCAGTACTCTTTCCTGGCATGGCAGGGGGTCGGACTTGATGATCTGCTCAGGTCCCTTCCGACCCTACCAACTATGAAACTATGAAATGCTTTGCAAAATAAGAATGGACTTTTGACTCAAAGCCATAAAGATCATGTCTTGCATGTCCTCAGATTTTTTTTAAGTTGTTGTATTCATAAGTATAGTTATATATTATTAATTGGGGAATTAGTGAGGTGGAATAGAATTCAAGTTATTTGTAAAGATCTAGAAATATCATCCAAGCTATGTCTTTAAATGTGCTTAATCCTTCTGCTTAACATCTCCAAGTTATTGTCTTTCCTGTTTATCCACACAGCCAAAATGCTTTTCATCTCATGTCTTGATTAACACAATATCACTTACTCAGACTGACAAAATGCAGTATTGCCCTGCTTGTACCTATCAAGAAAGCTACTACAAATATAACTTGCTAACCTGCTGCTTTGACTGCATCCTTCCACTAGCCTCCTCTCTTTGTGGTATCAACCACCTGTTACTTTCAAGGTCCTTCACAAACTATCCCTTCCCCACCTTTCCCCTCTCATTTAGTATACAGAGGTGTAGCAGGCTGGCTGTTCATATAACACAGTGAACTTGCCCCCACAGTAGACAATATAAACCATCAAATCACCAAACACACAGTACATAAACAAAAAATGGTTAACTCATACCCTTCAGTCTTTTCCCAGACCTGACCCTGAGAAAGTACGTTGGCTCAATAATAATAATAATAATGCTGCTGCTGCCCCTGCCACCTCTGCCACCCCTAGCCTTATAGCCTTCCCTGGGAGCTGTTAACTTCCTCTGGGCCAACTCATTATCCCCATCAGCTGGCCCAATTCTCTCAGGCAGGCCTGCAATCATCTTTTCCCTGCCTGCAGCTGGATTGCAGCCCCTGAGACATGCAGCCTACTACAAGAGGTCAGTTCATTTGAGGTTGTCCATAATGCCAGCCTCTGTTGCTCACTAGTCTTATTTTCATACGGACATTTCCTGCTTTGTTCCATAATACCTGCCATGCTTGGGAAGGTCTTCCTTTAAACATCTGTGAAGATTTTACATTGACTCTCCCCTCCCCTGAACACTCCTTTGCCATGATACCTGCAAAAACCTTGGAAACAATTCGGCTGCTATTAAACTAAAAACACTGCCCATCACATTGTCCAGCATTGTCTCATTGTGCCTCTTCTCGTCTGCGCCTGCCAGTCCATCTTTTATCTTCATATTGTAATAATAAATAACAGTAATACAAAGATAGAAAGCTGTCATGGCTTCATCTGTTGCTCTTTTTCTCATTGTTCAAGGCAAGCTAATGAGTTTCTTCTCTGTGACA